TGGCTTCTTGTTTGCTCCAGGGGCCGAGAGGAAAAGCAGAGCTGTTAACACAAAAGGGGAATTGGCCCCTTCATGGCTGGGGCCCCTTCTCACCAAAAGGCTATCCCTGAATCCCTGACATCCCTTTAGTTCGGGCCTGGCTGCACCGGGTGGCCGAGCGGCTCAGGGCGGCGGCCGCGGGAGCTCTCTCTCGTCCCTGGGGTCCAGGGAGGCCTGAGGCCTGAATGGGCTGAAAAGGGAGGGCGCCCCTGGGCCCCACCCGTCCCTGCGCTCCGCCCGACCTCACTTTGGCCTGGCGGGTCGGAAAGCCAAGGAGAGCCACAGGGGGAGGAAAGCGGGTCCCACTGGCTGGGGTGGGGGCGGGGACGGGAAGGGCCGGGACGCGGGGCAGCGCGGAGGAGGGAGAACGAGGCGGACTAGGAAGAGCCCACGGGGCAGGCGCCGGCGGACCCCCGCGCCAAGGCCCGGCTCGGCTGTTGCGCCTCCGCCTCCCTGGCGCCTCCTGCCCGGGTAGGAGGAGCCACAGCGCCACCCAGCGGCCGGTGGCGGGGAACGGCAGTCAGGGCTCTTGCGTGGTCCCAGAAGAGTGAGGGAGTTGAGTGGACCAGGTACGCGGAGGAAGGCTTAGAGGGTAGCGAGTGCGACGGTGGGGCACATAGTGGTTGATGGACTCTTAAACCAGACCCTACGTTCGCTTCGCCCACCAACCCATACGGCACGTGGCACTAGATGACTCTTCCTCCGGGTCAGCTGATAATACTCCTGTTAAGCTCAACCATCTTCCATGGCTTCCCACGGGCCTCGCTGTAAAGCTCAAATTTCCCACCTTGACCTTCAAGACCTTCCATGTTTTGACCTCAGGCTGTCTTTCAGGCTTCACCTTTTGCCACGCATCCGACCACCACTCACGCCTGCCCAAGTGAACCACTGATCCGCATCCGCATCCATTCACTTAGTGAAACTTTACAAAGGCACTGGGGAAACAGGGAGCAGACAGAAAGCGCTTGTCTACTCAGAGCTTACATTCAAGTGAAGAGATAGGCAATGAACAAGAAAAACGATGTGTAAACAAGATCATTTCAAATAGTTACCAGCACTAGATCATATAGAAACAAGTGGTATGATAGAGCATCTGCAGGCAAGAAGGGCACTACCATACCCAGAATAGTCAGGAAAGGACTTTCGGAGAAAGTGGCATGTAAGCTGACATCTGATAATAAGAAGGAGTCAGTCTTGCAAAAATCTAGGGGAAGAACATTTCAGGCTGAGGAAGGGCAGGTACAAAGGTCTTGAGACAGGGGTCAGCTGAGTGTATCAGAGGAAAAGAAATAAGGCCGGGTGGCTGAAGGAAACTAAAGGGAGTGTACTGGGCGATTGGAGGTAGGCAAGTGACAGGTCATGTAGGGCCCTGTGGGCCATGGTAAGGGGTTTGGATTTTATTCCGATTAAGCTGAGAAACTATTGGAGGGTTTTGGCAGGGGAGAGACATGATCTGATTTGCATTTTTGAAAGATCACTGTGGGTGGACTATGTGTGTGTGTGTGTGTGTGTGTGTGTGTGTGTGTGTGTGTGTATGCAAAATTGGAAGCAGGGAGACCAGTTAGAGTGCCATTGCAGTGGTCCAGGAGAGAGCTGATGGTGGCGTGGTCTACGTGGTGACAATGGAGGTGGGAGAAATTGTCAGACTCTAGAGGTATTTTGGAGCAATTTCTGTTCATGTGTCCAAAACATCTAAGAATGTTTTTGGAGGGAAGGAAAAGCAAGGATTATGAATTCCTCCTCTGTGTTAAGAACTGTGCTCAACGCTATCACATATACTACTTCGTTTAAGTTAATTTATTTAATTTTTATAACGACATCTAACCCTATCCTTTTATGTTAGAGATAAGTACACTAACCCGAAAAGGAAACGGGACTTTATGAAAGGCAAAGTCGTCACAGCACCAAATAATTCACTATTTTGAGTCCTACATGTAAGTCCCTCCCCACCCCCCATTTCACAGCCTAATACAGTTTATCCAAACCCATTATGCTAAGGTCTTTTTCAGCCTCTTGTTAATTGCTAGTATTACACAATGCAAATATATTTCAGAGTGAAACTGAAGGTCTTGAAAAAGATATAGGGTTTCATGAAGTCAATGAAAGTGACGTAGAAGACCATCTCTAACTTGTAATGTGGAGTCATTCATAAATGGAATTTGGCAGGGAGAGACCAGTTACCACCAGCAGGGGAGAAAATTGACTTGGGTAATGACAGGATCAAGGCTTCAAAGAGAATGATTCAACTCTCAAAGGATTACACGAGGTCCTTGGGATAATTGAAGAAGCTCTCTAATTTTGGAAAAATAAAACAAAACTCTGTTTATGATTGCGTGGCAAAAGTCAATATTGTGTTGTCATGCACGTCAGTCAGGAAACTCGTTATCCCCCAGTGCTTGATTCATTCTTTGTTCATTCTAAGAATTAGTGCATATTTGCCATTATTCACACATTTTAAATTTAAACAAAAATGTTTTCACCTTTCCAATTTTATTTTCCAAGATAAAGTCCCAGTCAAACCCTTTCCTCCTTTTCCCCCACTCTATTGTGAAATGTTGGTCCCCACTTCAAACGGACTCATTGTTAAGTGGCCCTTCTCTAGCACCACTTATCTGAGGATAACAAGGGCTTCACACAGCCCCAGCCATCGCTTCATCCCGTGATTGGCAAGCCCGGCTGCACGTTAGAATCTCCTGTGGAGTTTGTTAAACAATACTGAAGCTGGGATCCCAACCCGTGCTAATTCGATCCAAATCTCTGCTGGTGGGACCAGAGCGGAAACTCTCCAGGTGATTCTGTTGCATGGCCAGGGGTGTGAGTCACTGCCGCCGCCCCTCCTGCACATGCTGAGGCTGGAAGAGACTGAGGCTGCCTGCAGCTGGACTGCCCTGAAGGGAGAGCACCAGGGCCTAGGCCCAGCGCGTGAAGGGGTCGCTCAGAGGAGCAGCTGCAGGGCAAAATCCAGGAGTCAAAGGGCAACGTGTGGCTGGTAGGGTCACTTCCTTGGCACAGCCATTGTGCCCTTTACTCCCTTAGCACTGTGGGTATATAGCCTCCTCCAGTCCCTTGCCTCTCTTTCCTACGCTCAAGGCCAAGAGAGCCTGGCTCCCTCATGGACATGTGGTGAGACAAAAACTTGAACATTATATAGTAAGCATATGATGGTTGCTGAACACATGACATCATGTTATCTTGTGGATCTATAACGTGTCTGTATTTTACTGCTATTCCCAGCACCCAGCATAGTGCTTGACTTATAGTAATTGCTCGATAGGTATGTTTTGAATGAGTGAATAAGCCGAATACAGGCAGGATGTGGTAAGTACCATGATTAAGGTACAAGGTGTTACAGAAGTACTGAAGAGGACAAGAGGGTGTTCGGCTTGGGAGAGGGGGAATGTGCAAGTCTTCACAGCAGAGGTGGCATTTGAGCTGGACTTTGAAAGGCAGTGATGGGCAGAGATGGAGAGAGGACATCCCGGGGAAAAGAAACCATGTGAGCCAAGGGCAGGAGGTGAGAAGGTGCAGAGCTCATTCAGTGAAAGGTGGGATGGGAGCGTGTGACAGCCTCAGACTGGTAGGATGGGATCGGAATCCGAAGAGCCTTGAAAGTCATGCTGGGAAGTTTACACTTGATTCTACAGGCAATGTGGAACCATCTGATGTTTTTGCTCACGGGTGTAATATGTTCTCTTTGGGAAGATTAGATGTGTGCTTTACAGCAGCAGTTCTTTCACAAAATATTTATGGCGTGCCTCCTAAGTGCCGAAGTGTGCGGTGCTGGGGAAGATGGATCGAAATTGGAGTAATTGAAGAAGAGATTAGTTGGGGGGTATTGTAGTAGTCCAGGCAAAAGCTGCTGAGGGTCTGAAGCGGCTGAGAGGGAGCGGGTGGAAAGGAGGGGAAGGAGTTGACGCATGTTACACAGGGAGAATCGACGGAACTTGGTGACTGTTTTAGGTGGAGGTCAAGGAAAGAGAAGAAAGACCGGGTGACCGGTGACAATAATAATGATCAATAGTTGAGCGGCTCCTTCATGCCAGCTGTTGTGCGAAGCGCTTTATGTCCATCATCTAAGTCTCACAATAACCCTCTTGCTAGATGAGGACACTAAGGCTCAAGAAAGTCAAGGAACTCACGCCAAGTCGTGAACTCATACACTCGGGCTCCAGAGACCACGCCCTAAACTCCGTGCTCTGCTGCTTTCTGGGGAGTTGAGGGACTTGGGTTTTCTCCGTGAAGGAGTTCAGCAGCTCAGTGAGGACACCAGATTCCCTCCCAACTAACTCATGCTCTCCCCTCTCCTGGGTATGGGAGAAGGTGGCAGTGGTGGAGGGCTCTGTCTGTCACCTCTCCTGCGCTCCCCAAGCGCCTTCCTGCCTGGGATAGGAAGATGGGCCTGGTGAGGCAGAGTGCAAGAGATGAGACTGGGAGACTGGAAGCAAAGGCCGTGACGAAGGTGAAAAACTGCTAATCCCCAGGCCATGTGGGGCCTGCAGACAAATTTAGCCCACACAGAGGTATATGGGATTTTTTTAGACTTGAGCCAACATTTTGAAATTAGAGGCTTCACGTAAAATTCTCGAGTCCTGATGTCCCTTGAAGAATGAGAAGACCTGGCAACGCTGGGCCCACATTCCCACAAGTCAGCCCTGGGCTTGAGCTGCCCCTGTAGACACCCACACCCTGCACTTGTCACCACTTCCAGCCTTGGCGCCCATACTTCAGCCCAGCCCAGCCCACTTCCTTCACTCACACTTACCTGCCTGATCCCTGCAGGGGGTTGAGTTTGGACTTCCTTCTTTAGGGTGGCCGACTACAGAGTTTCCCCTTTTTTTCCCTGAGACTTGAGCCAACAAGCGGTGGCACAGAGGCTCAGCATCCTCTGGTCCCGCCTCCTCCCCAAGCCATAGACTTTTTCCTTGGGCAATTTTTGACACCACAGAACAAAACCATGAAGGGAAGGTTATCATCAAGTCTTACCATTTATTTCTTTATGGGGTTAAACAAGAGCAGAGAGGCTTCTGCCCCACAATGCAACAAAACAGAAAGCGGTACACATACAGAGACTCTCACCGAAACACAGAGGCAGGGGAAGGGCGACAACTGAACCATAGCCAGGTGAGGGAGGAAGGGACAGGGACTACTAGGAATCCAGCTTGGAGACTCAGTCATAGGAACTAGTGCAAGAAAGTCCTACTCATGAAGCACAGTGTAGAAAATGGCGTAAGAAAGCTGCCCAGCTCTGCTGCCTGTGACGAACGGCAGGGGCAGCTGGAGGGGTGGTGGAAGATCTGGGCAGTGGGGTGGATGGGGACAGTCAAATGACTTCGAGGTGGAGTGAGGTGCCCCTTTCCCCTGCCACTGGGCAAGGCCCTGGGCTGGTCTGAGCCAGGGGTCTCCTGGGCACTTGGTGAGGGGGAAGAGGGGATGGGAGTCTCCAAGGGTCTATTCCCTGGGGTCCTAAGGTCCCCCTTTACTTCCCGGTCCCTTTTCCCCTCCTGAGGATGCAGGAGTTACAAGGCAGTGCGTAGAGTCTCTCACATCTACAGAAGCATCTCTGGAAAGGAGCCAGCACCTCTTCCCCTCCCCAGCTGAAAAGAGCACTCTAGGGATGGGGTATGTGGCTAGGCCTGAAATGCTGAAGGCCAAACATGGAGTGTGTGGGCAGGGCACAGGGCTGGGCAGGGGGAGGGGAACACGCTGTGAGAAATGAGAAAACTGGCAGGGAAGGACTCCCTGGTCTCACAAAGCCTATTTGGGGACCCAGCTGAGGCCCTTGAATGATTCCCTCTCTACTAGTGAGGTTTCCCATTTATCCCCCAGCCAGCTGATTCCAGCTGTTCCCTCCCCCTCCCCCTTTTGGTTTCCCCTAATGCAGCCCCAGGCCCACCCCTCCCCTTAACTCACTGGCATTGCATCCCAGGACACAGGCCCTTCTGGCACTGAAAGCCGCTTGGCCTGTCCCAGGAACACAGTTGTGGCTTCCTTTCTCGTCTGCTCCTATTGGCTTGTAGATGTCCCAGGCCATGTGGCCTCCCACCCCTAGGAGATCAGCACAAGGCTAATGGCCCCCAAGGGGCTCTCCAGGCCTCTTCTCTAGCCTGCAGCTCTCTAGCCTGACTAAACACTTCAAGTCTCTCAACCAAGGGACCACAGCACATCGTCTTTATTTAGCAGGTCCTCTTGCCAGTTTCTGGACTTTCTCCAGCTAGGGGCAGGGGTGGCTGGATTAGGGGACCTGCTACAGGGTGAGGAGCAGTGTAGTGGCTCCACAATTGGGATAGTAACCCATGGGGTCAGGGATGAGAAGGGATGAATACTCTTTGGTAGGCTGGGGACGGGGACAGGCTGGGGATGGGGGAGGCTCATCTCTGGAAAGCTCTGGGGGCAACGCCACCAGGGTTTCCGTCATGGAGGCCTGGGCTAGGACGAGATGGGGGAGTCTGGGGACCCAGGCCAGGCCTGACCCTCTTGGGCTTAAGTCCCTCCTCCCCATGGAGATCAGAAATGGAAACGTCTTTGGCCCCAAGGCCAAGATCTCCAGGGCAAGAGTGGCCCTTGGGAGTATGTGCACCTTCGGTAAGATATGGCCCTTCAGACAGCGGCAGTCTGACCATGTGCCCTCAGCCCTCTGTTTCAAGGCCCAAGAACCCAGTCCCTGTGCTCCTGTGCTCCTTCTCCAGAGGGCTCCTTACGCAACCCTTTCTGATTTGGGGACGCTGCCCACCTCTTCCCTATCTCCGCTCTCTCCCGCCACTCATTCTGCACCCCCTTCCTATACCTCATGGCCTAGGGTGCTGGGGCACAGCTTCACTGGGGCCCTGACCTAGCCGCAACTGCGTACACCTCATGTCCCAGCTGGGCCCTTCCCTGTGGCGGCCCCACGTGGGATAAGGTGCGCTGGAGCGGGAGGAGGGCCGCTGCGTCGTCTGCCGTTGCCTGCAGGGGTGTGGGCAGGAGGGAATTAAGGATCGTGGCAACAAAAGGAATGCGGAGGGGGGAAAGAGCTTCTCCCCTCTGTGCCCCCCAACATTCCCTGAAGAGCCAAGGCTGGGTGAGCAGCCTCCTTCCTTGGGGTCAGGGCTCTCAGTGGTGGTGGGCATTTCCACCCCCCACTACCCCCCTTTTTTTTTGGCTAAGCCCCATAGATGGGGGCCTGGGAGGGGGGCACCTGCTGCTCCTGCCTTTTTCTCCTGGATGAGTTTTGCAGCTCCCTGGGGCCCTCTGGCGGTTCTGTTGGAGCTGCTTTTGGAGTGGGGGTTGGTAGGGGGCGATGTGTGATTGCCCCATTTCCCCCACCCCCCACCTGGTCCTACACCTCCCATGGGAGGGGCCCCCTCCCCCTCCCCCTGGGGGGGGCGCTGGAGCTGATGTCGGTGTGTGGTGGAGGTCTGATCTCCCTCCTTGCTGTCACTCTTCCCGAGTCAGGCCCTCGTCTAGGGCAGGCAGTGCCTCCAGGCCCGGTCCCCCGCCACCCTGGCCGCTGGAGAAGGACACCATGGTATGGAGGAGCATGAGAACAAGGACGTAGAGCCGGATCCTGCTGGGACTGAGGCGGGAGCCCCCAGAGACCGGCAGCAGGGAGGGATTGTGGCTGAGGTGGCCTGGGGGGTCGTGGCGGGGGTGGTAGTGGGGGTACTGTTGGTGGTAGTGGTGGAAGTAAGAGTGGTGGAATTGCTGGTGGTGGGTTTTAGGGGCTTCAGACTCCTTGAACTTCTTCTTCTCCGACTCACAGGAGACCCACTGCACGTCACAGCACTTGGTTTCCGGCCGCTTTGGCGAAGTATCCAGCAACCCTGCCAATGGATAAGCAAGGCGGGGTGGGGTGCTAAGGGGGCTGCTGGCTATGTCTTTCTGAGAGAGGTGATTGTCAAAGCTGGGGCTGCTCTGGTAGTCTTGCCCAAGACTCTTCCCCCTGCCCCTTAGCACCGTCCCCTTCTGGACACATCTTCCAGGGACCCCAGACAGTTTTTCTGGGGTAACTCCCTGGCCAGGTATGTTTCGGATACAGATGGCCACTCTGCTCTCTCCCCCTATTCCACTTTGCCCCATCCCAACCTGGGGCCTCACTACCTACTCCTGCAGCCACTAACCTTCTCCTGACCCAACTTCCCTGTTGCCCTCCCTGCCCCCACAGCCCCGACCTGGTGCCTGCTCTGGGACCCTGGCCTCCTCCCTCCTCCCAGGGCCCTGCCTTTACCTGTACAGATAAAGCCAGGGAGCCCTCCGTACACCATTTCCTCGTTGTCAGGGAGGATAAAGGGGCACCGGGTCTGCACCTCCAGGCAGTATTGCTTGCAGGGCACCCAGCGCTGGCATTCCTGCTGGGTCACGCTGAAGTATTCTGAGCACAGCCAGGCCTTGTAGACAGCCTGTAGGGAGAGGAAAAAGCATCAGCCCAGGCGCCAGCCCCTTTCCGCTTCAGAGGAGAGGGATGAGGAGGGGTGTACCTGTGCTCTATAGGGGGAGGGCACGGTGTGCTCGCCAACCCACCCTCAGGATCCAGGGGGTGGGGAAGAAGGGTTTGGGTCAAGACCACTACCTCCTACCCTAAAATCTCCCATTTCATAGCCAGAACTCCCAAGTCCCCAATCCGCAGTCATCCAAGACTTTGAATTTGTTCATTGGTAAAATCACAAAATGACTCCTATATCAGAGCTGGAAGAGGCCCATCCAACCATACCATTTTATAGCTGGTCCCGCGAGATGTCCTGACTTGTCTGAGGTCACCTATATTGAGGTAAATTTCACTTCCATTCAATTCAGCAAACATTTCTTTGGCTGACGGTGTTAAGTTTCTAAACTCAAGAAGAGAGATGGAGAGGATAATCTTTGCTTTACCTCATTAGGGTGTTGTGTAGATCAAATAATATGACGCATATGAAAATGTTCTGTAAATTCTATAGTGCAATACAAATGTGAGGGGTTATTTTTAATAAAAACAGGAATCTGCCTTACCAAGCACCACATGTGCCTTCAAGCTCTACTTAACCCATGCTCTGTCCTGTTGGCGTCCGCCCTGGAGTGGAGCAGACACCACATTTCATTTGGAAACTTTGCTTGGCCGTTTCACTTCGTGGGTATACTTCCTGCCCCTCATCTAGCCCATTTCCACCAGGCACTTGGTCCTGGCTAAGAAAGGTTCCCTGCTCTATACTCTTTGGCTATCATCAAGACCAGAGTTCCTCAATGGCGACACTACCGACATTTTGGACTGGATGATTCTTTGTAGTGGGGGCTGTCCTGTGCATTATAGAATATTGAGAAGCATTTCTTGCCTCTACCCAGTAGTTGCCAGTTGCATCCTCCCCCTCCTCATTGTGACAACCAAGAAATGTCTCTGGCCATTGCCAAATATCCCCTGGGTGGGGGGCAAAATCATCTCCCATTGAGAACCAGTGATCTAACTCCTTGCTACTGAAAGTGTGGACCTGGACCAGCAGCATCACCATCACTTGGAGCTTGTGAAAAGTGCATAATCCCAGGCCCTGCCCCAGACTTGACAAGTCACACCTGCATTTTAACAGGGTGCCCAGAGCCCTGTCCACATCCATTCTTCATATTTTCAGGGGCACCTTCCCATAGTTGCTCCTTGTAGCGATGGTTCTCCGACTTCAGTGTGCCTCAGAATCCCCTGGGACACTTGTTAAAAAGGCAGATGGCCCCCTCCAATTCAGCTTCAAGAGGACTGAGGTGGGCTCAGGAATCTGCCTTTGGAACAAGGGTCCAGGGCATTCTGCGGCCAGAGTCCTTTCAACCACACTCTGAGCAACGTGGTCAGAGCTTCTTACACAGACTTTAAACATTTACACTCAAATACAAATAACTCCACGGTGAACATGGACTTGGGCAATGTAATCCCACACTGGCCTTTTCCAAAGTGGGGGCAGGGGCGTGGTGATGGGTGGTAGTGGGTTGTGGTGCAAGTTACCCCCCTGAGGAACACAGATTTGATACCTCACTGGCTTCTCAAATTTAACATGCTCTAAATCTTAAAATTCAGTTCTTGTTTTTACTCCAAATCTGCCCACACCCCTGAGTCTTGACCACTTCGGTTAAGTGCCATGACCATCCACCTGGGTATTCAATCCAGAAACTTAGGTGTCAGCCATCACGCCTCTCTTTGCCAGCATCCCCACACGCAGTTCATCAGCAAGGCATGCCCATTCTCCCTCTACTTTCACGACTCTGTGCAGGCACTGTCATTTGTCACCTGGACAACAGTCTCCTATGTGGCCTCCCCACCTCCGCTCTTGCTCTTTCCAATGCACTGTTTACACAGGAGTAAGAGCAATCTCAAAATGACATTCGATCATGTTACTCCCTTGCTTCAAACCCTTCAATGCATTTAGAATAAAACCCAAACTTTCGACCACAGACTTCAAACCCCTGCATAACTTGGCCCCTGTCTGTCTCTCCAACCTCATTTTCTACCTCTCCCATACGGCTCGTAATGCTCCACACGCTGAGGTTTTCTTTCTTTTCCTTGAACATGCCCTACTTCTTCCCACCTTGGGGCCTTGGCACACACTGTTCTCTTGGCCTGATATGCTCTTCCCCCTGCCCCCCACCACTTTTGGCCTGGCTAGGTCCTTCTCAACTTCGAAGCCTCAGTTCAAAAGTCACCTCCTCAGAGAGGGTCTCCCTGACCACTCTAGTTAGAGAATGCCCCCTCATTATTCTTTTTCTTAAATGTTTCTTCACCACAAGTGTGAGTTTGTCTGCATCCTTGTTTTGTTTTTCTCTGTCAACCTCACTAAAACGTAAGACACATAAAAGCAGACGTGGGTCGGTCTTATTGACCATATTGAGTACTCAGCACAATATATGTAAAAAAACAAGTCTTGTTGATGGAATGAACCAGATGAGTAAATGAGGACATGTCCCTACTCTCAAAGAAATTTCAGTTTCATGGATAGACAGATCTCACTTGAAACGATGGCACATTTTCTATATTATAAGAGAAGTTAAACCACTGGCCACTGGAGTGAAGCAAATAGAAAAGCCGGAAAAGATTTCAGTGAGGGTATGAGTTGAGCTGGGGGAGTTCCCTGGTGGTCCAGCGGTTAGGAATCCACCTTCCAATGCAGGGGGCGTAGGTTCGATTCCTGGTCGGGGAACTAAGATCCCACACGCTGTGGGGCAACTAAGCCTGAGGGCCACAACTACCAAGCCCACGTGCTCTGGAGCCCACGCGCCACAACTAGAGAGAAGCCTGCATGCTGCAACGAAGAGCCCGCACACCACAACGAAAGATCCCGCGTGCCACAACTAAGACCCGAGACAGCCAAAAATAAATAAATAAATATTTTTAAAAAAAGAGTTGAGTTGGGACTCAAGGTAGGATTTTAGATGGCATGGGCAGAGATGAGACAAAAGGGCATTCTGGACTGAGGCAACAGCTTAAGCAAAGGTACAGATGTGAGCACATGCATGGTGTGCTAAAAGAATGGAGAACGGTTTCATATGAATGAAGTGCAAAGGATACCAATCTCCCGTGGATGGATGGACATTTAAGTTATTTCCAGGTTCCCACTATCACGAACAATGCTTTGCTGAGCAGGTCTGTACACACCTCTCTTGAACACTTGTGTTACATTTTATTTATATAAACTCAAGAGTGAAATTATTGGGATAAAAGGTATGTGCAATGGAGTGAGAAGGGAGTGGAAGGAGGTGGAAAGGAACAAGTAAAGGTAAGAGGCAGGGGAAGAGGGAGCTAGAGGGGTAGGAGAGGGGCTCAGGGGTTGGATAGAGTGGCAGTGCAGTCCAGGGGCACAAGGGAGGAGGGGAGGAAGAAAGAGAGGGTAAGAAAGAGTAGGGAGTTGGAAGGTAAGAAATGGTGGTTATAGCGGGGGTAGGAAAAAACAGCACTGGGGAGGAAGCAGGGGAATAAGAGATGGAGGGTGTAAGGGAGGTAAAGAGGTACAGTGAGGGTGAGAGAAGATGAAGGGTAAGAAAGAGTAGGGGATAACAGGGTGGGGGACAGGAGACGTGGAAGATGGGCTGTGAAGAGGAGGGGTAAGGAAGACGGAGGAAGAAAGAGGAGGGTTCAAGAGCCAGCAGGGGAGTAAAGGGGGGTAAAGAAGATGGGAACAGAGGAAGGCCAAGATAAGAAAGAGGGATAAGACAGCAGAAGGAGATGGGGGAGACAGAAAGAAAAGTAAGACAGGAAACAAAAGGACATCCCTAACGCTAAGGGCCCCAGTACCTTGGAGACTCCCCCCGCCCTCCATCTTGTGGGTCCCAGGGTGCCAAGAGGCAGCTCTGTCCACAGCCTCTGCCCCAACCTCTGCAGCCTGGACCCAGAGTCCACCTCCACCCTCACCCTGAATTGTGTGGAACAGCCCAGTCCTCCACTGCTGGGGTTCAGAGGCCCCTGCGCGATTCTCCCTGGGCTCTTTCGGTTTAATATTCCTGCTCCCAGGTGAGGCTCCAGTGGAGGGCCAGCTCTCCTCCTCCCAGGCAACTGCAATTAGCCTAATAGCAGGCGCTGGTGGCCGGGCACTCCCCGCCTCTGCTCTGGGAGAGAGAGAGGGAGCTGAGGGAGGCAGGGCTGGGAGAGGGGTGGCCTGACAGTGGGAGGGAGGCCTTTCTCCTTAGCTAGACGACCCTCCCTCAAGCCCCAGGCCCCAGAGTCACCATGGCGAGCAGGTTGCCTGAGGAGGACACCAGGCCTGTGGGTGGCAAGACAGGAAAAGGCAAGGAACTAGTGAGAGGAATGGAGGAAGTAGAGTGACACGGGGCTGAGAGGTAATCCAGTTCCTTAGCCCCACACATGGCCAGCTGAGGTCATTGCTGGCCCATGTGCTTTAAAAAGGGGCTGGGGTCCTTCTCAGATGAAAAGTCTGGCTCTCAGGGCTACCACCTGGACAGCAAGCCTGCCTTAGTCTCCGTAGCCCTCTTCCCTAGGCAGGCCTAAGTCACTTGCCCCATCTCATCAGTGTTAGGACTGAGCCAGAGGGGACCGGGTTGCTTGGGCAGTTGCAGGGGACGTGGGCACTCATCCACAAGGATGGGGAAGAGCCAGGAGAGCTGCGTTCGGAGAGCTGTGGGGCTTGCTGGAGGCGGGGCATGCAGGGCAAAGGAAGAAATGTCTCAGAACCAGACAACAGTCAGTTGGGAGACCCTCGGAGGTCTTTTGCTCTAGTTCCTCAATTCTGGCTGCATATTAGAATCACTCAGAGAGTCTTTTTTTTTTTTTCCCCAGGTATCTTGCTATTTTATTTTTAACTAGTTTTTTTTAACATCTTTATTGAAGTATAATTGCTTTACAATGGTGTGTTAGTTTCTGCTTTATAACAAAGTGAATCAGTTATACATATACATATGTTCCCATATCTCTTCCCTCTTGTGTCTCCCTCCCTCCCAC